GTCATAATCTTTGGTATAGTAGTTGTGACTTATTCACACTATATACATTTGGCTTCCGCAACAGAAACAGGGAAGAAAAAGGAAAAAGAGAAGAAAAGCAAGAAGGATAAAAAAGATAAAGAAAAGAAAGTCAAGAGAATAGAGGAGTCAGATGAAGAAGACGAGCAAGACAAGGCGAATGAGGTTGAAGTCGCCACAAGAGAGATAAAAGTTGAGAAAGACGAGAAAATATTCGACGGTGACGCAGACGAGAAAAGTAAAAAGAAGGAGAAAGGCAAAGAAGGTAAAGATGAGAAACAAAAGGATGCAAAAAAAGATAAAGCTGAGAAGAAGAGAAAACTTGAGGACAAATATAAAAGCAAAGGTCTAGATAAGTTGAAATCCAAGTTTGAGAAGATCAATGCCAAACTGGAAGCTCTTCAGCAGAGAAAAGCGGACATCCTGAAGACAATAAAAGAAGCCGAGGATAAAAACTTAGCGGTGGTTGAGAGTCCTAAAGAGGCAGAGCCGAAGGCACAAGATGGAGTAGTGGTCGAACAGTGAGTAGTATATTTTTCAGAATAATGTTACATATTCTTATACTGTCGTTCTCTTTTCTTGTTTTTATTTTTATTTTTATTTTTTTCTTGTTTTTTATTTTATTTTCGTCATTCTGAGCCGAGGGTCAATCGGAAACAGCCTTTCTGCCCCTATCGGGGCAGGGGTAAGGTCTGCGTACACATTACCCTTCCTAGACTCCACTATGTGGGATTTTACTGGGTAGTTGTTGTTGTTGTTATTCTTATACTGTCGTTATGTATCCCTTTCCCTTCCACTGTCATTTAGAAATGTATTTATCTTTGTCTTAATTAAGTTAAAGTAATAAGAGATGTAATACTTGCATTAAGTTTTATAAATTTTGACCTTTTGCAATTCATCTTTTTTTTTTTTAAAAAATTCACTTCCTTCTTCTGTATTGCTTTGTGCCCATCTTAGTGTAAAGTTGTTAACATGGTTCAGGCCCACTGCATCTACAAACTGAGCGAGTAAAGTGTTGATGAGTCCGGAAATATCCGTATCTCATTCTCCAGGGAAAACACTAAAATTTAAAATGAAAATTAGTGAATGAGGTTCAAGAAGGTTTCATCTTCAGCTGCCAAAAGGAATGTGTTCTGTGAGGTTTTTAAGTGAATAAGTAAAAATTCGAGTTGCTGTGAAAGCATGGCGAACAATTTGAAGGGCAAAGTTCCTAGGCATATTAGTCTATGTCATGCAATGCCATTTGAAGAGTTCGGAACCTAAATGTTGTATTTTTGGACTCAAAATACATAAATAGGTAAAAAAAAATTTAGTGACCAAAATATATAAAATACATTTTTGAACCACATTTTACCTTAAATTTATTTTCAAAACTGTGTTTTATAAAAACGTGGTTTCAAACCACGTTTTACCTTAAGTCTCCTTTTCACTTGAAATCAGCGAAGGTAATAAATTTTCTGGAAATTTGTTCTTCATTTTTTTTTTTAGAAAAAATAATCATTCTAAAGGGAACTTATATATGTGGCATTACATAATAAATGATTGAGATAGACACTACTTACCTTATTGGCTCTAACTACTATGCTATTTTATTCCTTTTCCACTATTTTTACTACTTCCTTTGGTTTATATCTCTTAGGAAATATTTTTAATAGTCTTAATCTTAATTAATTAATTAAATTATTCTTTAATTTTCTTAAAATGTCTCATTTGATTAATAATGAGCTCTCACCGTTTTCTTTTACTTATTTAGTATAATACTAAAGATAGTTTTTTCCTTTTACTTCCTTTTAGCACGTCAAGAGAGAATTAGTTAACTTTTTCAAATTTGCTCTTATTATTAAGTATCCATTTCACAAACTAATTGATATATTAGTACTTAAAGTCAGATTTGTAAAGTATTATTAATAAGGATAATTAAATATTTAATTAATGTTTTCTCGAGAAGTGAAAATACAAATCGAACAAGTAAATAGAAACGAAAGGTAAGTTTTACAAATTGTTATATAACTATGATTTTTTCGCACCAAAGTCATATAATTTTATTTTCTCACACAAAAATCATAGTCACTGAAAAATATAACGTTTTAATAGTATTTTCTTGTTCCATAGTCTTTATTTTTTATTATTTTCAGTCTAATAAATAATAATCCAATTTAAATCTTATGCATTTTATACTTACACAATGAAATCATATAAATAAAAGATAATTGCATGTAACTTTATATTGTCACTCGCTTCAATTACTTATTATATTATTGTTGTTATTGCTTGTTGCTTTATTTTACCGTTTCTTAAGCCGAGGGTCTATCGAAAACAACCTCTCTGCCTTTATAGGGTAGGGGTAAAGCTGCGTACATACTACACTCCGCAATTAAGCTGGGTGTGTTATTGTTGTTGTTGCATGTAACTTTATATAATAAGCATGGATTTAAGTTAAAAGAATTTACAGTGAATTTAATTGATTATAATAAGTTGTTCTATTTTCTAAATTAATAGTTCAACTTGATCGTCTAAAAGATCTCTTATATAAACTCAATAAGCAATACTGGGTAACTTAGGATATATGATAAACAACCTTTGTTAAATTACAATGATGGTATAAAGATTCTATATAACTTAAATCTATATTAAGAAACATTTCAATATTCAATTCTCACCAAATCAAAACAGAAAGTTCAAGTGAAAAGGAGACTTAAGGTAAAACGTGGTTTCAAAGTATTTATAAAACGCTGTTTTGAAACGTGTTTTACCTTAACGTCACAAACGGACGTTAAGGTAAAACGTAGTTCAAAACTGCATTTTATATGTTTTGGTCACTAAATTATTTTTTCACCTATTTATATATTTTAAGTCCAAAAATATAATATTTAGATTTCGAACTCGCCATTTGAATATGTGGCCTCTTATATAGGCATAGAATCTATTTGTATGACGATATCAATGGTTATAAATGTGCATGCATGTCTGTATTGACAAGTACCGTGGATATTATCTATTGAAAAATAGTTAGTCCCATGATTTAGAGAATTAACGGTAAATATCCAAATGCTTTGCGTATTATTAAGGGAAAAGGTCAATATCCGAAACTGAGTGAACTTTGGACTTTTGGCTAATATTACCCCTGCTATTGGGAAAAAGTCTCGTCTTTGCCCTTGATCCCTAATGGAGTTGGGTTTTTCTAGGTTGGGGCGAAAACTCCAAAATTCAAAACGTTGGTTAGGGTTCCAAACCTTTCTCTAAAAATAAGGTAAGCTTTCAAGCAGCCGCCCTTTAAAGGAGCGGGCACAATGTTTTTCTCGTAGAATTTGAACATGTGGAGTCTAATCATTTCATAAATAAGAAAATTTTCAATGAATGGGTGCACTGATTTTTTTTTTTACTATAAAGCACTACAAAACCGCCTAAAATTCATTATCTGTCCGATTTCGCAGATTTTTTTAAGAAGAAAATAAGTGGTTGCTATAAGGTCTCTTTCGTCTTATTTTTAGCAATAGGTCTCTTCAAGAAAAAAGGAAATTAGAAGAAAAAAAAAAGTGGTTGCTATAAGGTCTTTTTCGTAAATTTTCTTGATCGTCCAAGAACATTAGATACATACTCTTCTAAAGTTTTGTTTAAGACTGGTTGGATTTAACATTTATTTTCGGCAGAATACATAATTGGACCCTTAAATTTGGTATTTTTTGTTACTTGGACACTTAAACATAAAGTTGTTCCTATCAAGTCCTTCAACTAAACCACATTTGCGCCAATTAGATACTTTGTAGACAATCCGAGAAAAACTTTTATAAAAATTAAACGCGAGTGCCGTGTAAAAAGAACAAGCATGGCAAATGAGAATATCAAATCCATGTACACTAAACTTTCTTTTAAGAAAAATTAAGAGGAAAAATGATATGTTCACGGGAAGAAGAAGATAAATAGAATGTAGGGTAAAAGTTAGCTTTAATTGGAATAATATATTAGAATAATAATAATAATAATAATAATAATAATAATAATAATAATAATAATAATAATAATAATAATATATTAATAATATAATAATCAACAACCTTTTCTCATGTTCACGCGCCCTTTCCCACTCACTCAAGCATGTCACTACAAAGTGTTTAATTGGCACAGATGTGATTTAGTTGAAGGGCCTAATAGGAACAACTCTATGTTTAAGTGTCCAAGTGACAAAAAAAGCCAAGTTTAAGGGTCCAGTTATGTATTCTGCCTTTATTTTTTTTTTATGTACAACGTTAATTATACACAATTATATGCTTATTATACGTAAATTGTATATAATATATATTCAATAACTAATTTTAATTAAAACGTTAAGTAAACTGCTATTTAGATCGATCACATTAATTATGAGCCACAAGAGGTTGCCACTACTTAGTACTCACGTGAATCGTGATAATTGTTGCCGCTAAGCTTCACCGAATCAATTGGTATACAATTTTTTTAATGAGGTAGACAGAGTAAAAACTACGCCTTCAATCCTTAATTTTTTACCTTCACTATCATAATTATGGTTTAACTGATGAACTTTAGTTATATGGTCTTTTGTATGAGAAAATGCATTGAAAAATATTTCTACGATAATCTAATATTCTTTTTAAGATTTTTTAGAATATAAAATAAGATTTGGACTTTTGATCAATGGTGTTATAGTGGTTTTAGCATAAGACACCCACAAAAATGCCAATTAGCTGTCACGACCCAAATTCCCCCTCCGTGAATTTGTCGTGACGGCACCTAGTCTCTACGACTAGGTAAGCCTAACATTTGCGAAAAAAAAGAGAAACTTAAGAATTAACAACTATCAGAAACATATAATTTAAATAAAACATTTGAGATGCCGCTCGGCATATACAATAATCACTCTCGAAATATACACAACTCTCCCAAGACCCGGAACACCATGAACAACAAACTACAAAATGAAAATAGTATCTCTATACTCCAGAGTCTAACAAAAAGGAAATATAGGAAGTGTTTGACATGGGGAAGAGTAGAAGGGGATTCCGAGGTCTGCGGACGCGACATATATACCTTGAAGTCTCCAAAGCTGTCTCGACTCACTGATAATGCGGCTGATAAGTGGTACCTGGATCTGCACACGAAAAACATGTGCAGAGAAGGGCATGAGTACACCACAACGGTATCTAGTAAGTGCCAAGACTAACCTCGGTCGAGTAGCGACGAGGTCAGGTCAGGGACCTACCGGTATATATATAATAAAACAAGATATAATGAAATACCGCAGTAAAATAAAGACTGAAATTTAACAAGAATAAACTCATAGAAAACAACAGCTCAGTACACAAAGATAACAACAGGGGATCTCCCGAGATACCGTCTCGTAGTCCCAAATACAAATATGCAGGGGGATCTTCTGGAATACCGTTTCGTAGTCCCAAAGTAAATAGGCAGTACATGGGGATCTTTTGGAATACTGTTCCGCTGTACCAAAATAAATATGCAGCTCAACCAACGGAAATAACAGTTACAACAAGAAAGCATACAATTTA